TTACCCTTTCCTGCCTCTTTGAAAGGAAGCAGGTTGTCTGGAGAGGGTATGCATCTCCTTTCTTGAAGGCTTTCAAGACACCATTAGATAAAACACTGACCTCAGAGCTGGCCTTGTTTTGAGCAGGAGGTTAGACGAGAGACCTCCTGAGGTCTCTTCCAACCTGAAAGATTCTGTGAATCTATGAAAAACAAGTGTCCATTTCATAAAATAATGCTTTAATCAGGGTACTAAAAACTATTGCTCGTACCTGGCAATTATTTAAGTCAAAGATACAAGATCTACAGCGTATTAGCCTTATACGCTACTGCCCTAAAATCTTACTTGCCAATGGATGGTACAGGTATCATGCTGACATACACTTCAAGCTGTTATCAGCAAGAAATCTTACTGTCTTAGCTAATAACTCTCTTGAAAGGTCAGTAATTCAGCGAGCCTTGGGACATAAAGGTAAATCAGAAACTTGTAGGAGCTGTAAAAAACTGATTCCCTGATAATCAGCTACAAGAAGCAAACTCAGTTTGCGTTTTTTGGAGGGTTGTGTTGCAGCTGAACTAAGTTCTTTATTGTTGTGCACTACTTCAGTGTATTAAAAACTGTCACATATTATAGCTAGTGTATTCAAATATAAGGAACTAAAACTGGCTTCTAAATTCATTTATAATTCAAATTTTTGAGCATCTGATAGTTTTCATTTAGAAATCAAGCAGTCATTAGCATACCAAAATACGAACTTAAAAATCCAGTTTCAGAGCATTGTAGCATTTCATATCATTTTAGTTCAAAATAAAGTACAGATGACCCTAGTTAAAATGCCATCCTGTAAAACATGCTCAGGTAGAATGAGGCTGAGACTTACCACCATTTTTCCAGTGTTTGTTGGGCTTTTTTGTCCTTCTAGATACCTTAAAAAGGTCCACCAAGAAAATGCAGGAGGATTTCTTGATCAATGTCCTTACCTATTTAAATCTGATTTTAAACTTTGGTAGATGAGTTCTATAGTGATTTTGCTTTTGTGAGCAAAGGCCATATGCATAACACCTAACATGAGTAAAATCTTTACAATTTTCCTAAAGAGGAATGTTTGAAATAAGTCATTAATCCTTAACTGATCAAGTTACTCTCACTTTTAAATCTGCAATGTTAATCTTACTTTTTCACTTAACCGTCTTGCTTACAAAGAAGAAAGCATATCAGGAGTGTTTTAAATAACCTAAGAAGCTCTTTATGCAATTGGTTATTCCATCTGGAGGGTAAATGCAGGGCAACCAGCGAGACAGCACTCTGGGAATACAAGAACAGGATAAATGATGGAAGGAGTTACAACTATGGTTCTAAAAGGAAGGCGTAGCTTCTGTGATACTAGGATTTTAATCCAAGCACTATGTCTGTGGTAAAAGGAAGAAAAACTCTTCCCCAGAAGCTAGGAAAAAAACTGACATAGGATAGGCTTCTGGTAATTCTGGCAAATGTGGGCTGTGCTCCTGCGGGATATGATTGTTGCCATGCAGCCCTGCATTTAGGCAGGAGCTGCATCCATTCTGAATCCTCTTGTTTCTCAGATCATACCTTGTGCAGGCTCTTGAGTACTTTCTGTATTTACGTAAATGAGTCATTTATGTTCTGAAATGATGCTACTTCCCCAGGAAAAAAAAAATCTTCCTGTTTACCTAAGACACTGTTTAGTAAATGAACAGTAGAATGGTACTGCAGGGGAAAAGTTGAATGTGACGGCTTGATGTTGTTGCTTGAAATACTTCCAGCCTGTCCTTTCTGTGGGGTTGTCCTAGGAAACTCATAAACTAGGAAACTTTGCTGACATTTGGACTTCATTTAATTCAAGGTTTGCTATTAAGATTTGATGCAGCTTAAGCTTATGACATTGACAAAAAGAAACTCATTTTTCTATGCTAATACAAATAAATGGTGGCTGTCCAAGCAAAGTGGTTGAATTAGAATTCCACAACTAAAGAATGAGCAAAACTGGATGAGAGTGACTTATGGAGCAATATACTCAGCTCATTTATATCTGTTACCATTATTCAGGTTTCACTGTGATTCCTAGCTTAAATAAGATAAGCAAAATGTAACGTAATCCTGATCTTATATGGTTATAAATATATACATGTTGTTTACTTTAGCACTTAAGAGCACCTCTTACTGATAAGGAAATTCACTGTAGGACAAGATATCCCAATTTTCTTGGTATATTTTTTTCAAATACAACTTTTGTCTCATTTTAGTTTCAACCGGCATTCTTCCACCTCCATCAGCTACCAGTCAAAGATGAGGTATAAAAATGTTTTGTGCAGCTACTCTACCTTAAAAGCATTTAACAAACCAATTTATTGCTGCTAGTAGGCATCTAGTGAAGTATTAACATAAAAATGATCTGCTTAGAAATATTTACTCTTTCTTTTTCTGACAACTAATAGTTTTCAGAGCCAGTACTTAATTTGCTGCCTGTCACATGCCCTTGGCTGCTACAGATAAATTCAGTAAAGGTGCTTTCACTGCTTTTTCGAGATGCCATTGCTTCCTGTTCCATTAAAGCATCTTTGATCTTTAGGACATCTTTTTATTTTTTTTCTTTCTTTCTTTCTTTCTTCTTTCTTTCTTTTCTTTCTTTCTTTCTATTACATTTTTTTTCTTCAGCAGAAATTCTGATAAATCTTTTAACTTCACTAAAACCCTTAATGATGTAATGTAACGCTTTATTTCTCTTGGACAAGCCTTTTATCTTCTTTACTGTATTTAATATGCATCATACACTTGTAAAAGAGTTCAGTCTTTTAATTTTGCCATAGTTTTGGAACTATGAATACAATTTTTTGTGTGAGTGTGATTTTTGATTTTTTCAACTTCATTTCCCTGAACATACAAGGAAATCTAGTGGCGTGGTTTTATCATGCTGTTAACTTTGGACAACACTTGAATTTTGAATAACCGTTTTTCTTTGTGACAGTCTAAGTATCACGAATCTGGCTCAGAACTTCTTTATGTATTTTGTGCATTAAGAGAGCTTCAAATGAGTTTTTCTACCAATGGACCTGCACATCTGGGAGTAGACTTTCCTGAGTGTATACCATTTTCAGATTAAGGCTGTATAACACATGATTTAAAATCTTTTAATCCACATTGTAAATATTGATCACTGATCCTGTAAAGGTAAGTATGGTTTAATGGTTTTCTGTCTAGTTTACCTTGAGTAATAGATTTTAAAACAAGGAAAATTCTTTTGATAGTGTGTATTTAGCTAAAGGCATTTTGAAAGCTGTACGTGAAGCCAGTGTGTCTGAAGTGTACATCTTCCTGTCTGTGCTACGGTAGGAGCAATGAGTCTCTGTCCAGTGACCCCGAGTACAATACCTTCTTATGCACTACAGATGAGGAGGTATCAACAGGAAATAGATGGTAAGAATGGAAAGTAAAAAGTCTTACTATGCTTAGAACAGCTTTGGTGGTTGCAAAATCACAGCGCAGTTCACAACAGAATCTGCAGTGAATACAAACCCACTAAAGCAGTTTATCTTTGAGAGTCCTGTTCACTCATGGTATAGCAGACCGAAATCTAGCCCGAAGCCCTAGACTAGGTAGAGAAATAATTAGCTATAGTCATTGTAGCAGTAGCTATGTTTCTAGGTCAAAGTAAATTGACAAAATAAATTAACCTGAAGCAGCAATGCTATGCAGACTAGATCTATAGTATAAGCACTGCCGGAGTAGCAAAAAGCTATGTTGTGAGGATAGGTTTATTCTGTTCAAAATTAAAAATCAAAAGTTTACATTGATCAGAACAGGAAGGAATTTGCTGGATTTGCAATATGTAAAAATTATAACATGTTCTCTCCAGATGGCTTGTATTTCCACTATTAAAGAAAGTACAAGTCAAGATGGACCAATGGTCTGGCAAAGCTGGACACTTCTTTTCTTATGCTGACAACTGTCTTCCTATAGACAAAAGCCACTATGGAAATAACTCCTGAACTGTCAGCACAAATGGATAGGGATCTGGTTCATACAGATAGTGAAACTGAAGGAAAAAAGAAAGTAAAGCTATGTTATCAGGGTGAATAAGAATGATGTTCAACAGTGAATGGTTTTTATTACTGCACGCATATTGCTATCTGTTGCTTCCCTTCTTTGTACTTCATTCCCTCTTGTTTGCTTTGTTTGTAATGCTCTCTCACTGGTCGAAGAAGCAAAGTCCCTACAAAGGTAATCATCCTAAGGAACAGACAAAGAGAAGAGGCATACATTTCAAAATGTTGCTACAATCAAACTGAGAATCGGTGTCTGAGCCATAAGATAGAGAAAAGCAATTTCTTACTGATGTTTGCAATCCCGAGCAAATGTTTTTAATCTAGGAATGCAGAAATTGCATCGTAATATTGTGTATCATATGCTTTTGAGTTAGCTGAATCTGAACATTAGAAAAATCAACGTAAATTGTGGTTTCAGTCTAAATAGGGAAAAGAGTTAGTTTCAGAAATGTGTTTTAAAGGTCACTACAATCTTTTTGAAAAGAGTACAATGCTTATAAACAGTAATTAGTATTGTTGTAGTAGTAGTAATTGTGCTGAGCCAGTATCTTTCTAAGTCAACAAGATATCCCTCACTGATTTATCTTAGACAAGAACAGGCTGGTATGTTCGTAAAGGGACTGAAAACCCAAACTTTGTATGCATGTTCCCCAAGTCTGATCCCTTGTTAAACCGAGAGTTCCTTTAATAAATCTGTCATATTATTTCAATAAGCTATTCTCTGTGACAACAAGAGCAACTTGGCATTATTTAAAATCCTTTTTTGGCTAATTTTTCTTTTGAAAGAATTGTTTCAGCAATGACTAATTAATATCACAGTATTCTCTCTGCAGCTCTCAAGGACTGTTCCTCTCGGAGTGCTTTGGAAGCTGCCAGATCTGTTATTTCATAATCAGTAACTTTTGCTGTTTATGAAGTTGCTCATACCTTCATTTTGCTTTTAGAAACACAAGCCAGTCATATACACCAACACCGGTTTCTGGAAGCTATGGTGAAAGTCCTGCTGCTTCTGCTACTTCAAAACCAAGAGTTATTACTACTGCCAGCATAAAGCCCTCTGTCTACCAGCCAGGTAAGGTGACTTCAAAGTAACGAAAGGATTCAGAACAAAGTACCGAAAGGATTCAGTATACATTCACGTGCATTTCTTCTAGAAAAAGAAAATGCAAAGAATGCATGTTTTACAATTGGACGCACACATATCGGGAAAGATTTATATACATGGAACGAAATGCTGCTATTTGCTAGTTTTGCTTCAGATTATCTGAAAATCGAGGATTATGTTGTATTTGTATTCTGCTTTAGAGTAAAAATGTGGAACAAAAGGAGGAAGAAGAATAAAAGCAAGGGAAAAACCTGTAATAAAAAAAAAAAGTAGGCTGACTTTTGAAAAAAAAAACAAACAAACCTTTGGAAAATAACCCAGCATGCCCAATTAGGAGCCCAATGACATTTCAGAAATGATAAAACAGCTTAAGAATGCACAACTCAGGAAGGAGGTAAAATAAGTGAAGGTAGTTTGAGTAGGATATATTTGCAAAGTAGACAAGGCCATATATTGAACTTCTCAAACTCAGGCTTATATTTGAAATAGAGAGTGACCTATTGAAGTACTTCATAATGCTGTGTTTCCGTTTCCCACAGCTCCAGTTACGGAAGGAATATTTTTTTTATTCATTCATGTGGAAAATATGCTTCTTGATTTTATTTAAATTCCCTTTGTATTAATGTGTTACAAATTGAGTGAACTTCTAAAACCAGTGATGACCAAAATGTGAACCCTCAAAAAGAACAAATTAAATGAGGCAGCAATGTAAGTCTAAATGCAGTTCTGTTACAAATTAAGCTTGTTCTGATCTTAGCAAGAGAATTAAAAAGTTGATTTATATCTCGACAGTCAAGTAAATATGAAAAGGCCAAGAATTCTAACAAGCTTAAACTCTGACTTCTGTAATGCTCTACCTCTGCATCTAATGAAATGAAACCAAGGCAAACTTAGACATAAAGCAGACAGACAGATCAATTGATTGTCTTTGTATTTGAGATATGAAGGTGGAAAAAGCCAGTTCAGAGCTGTCATGAGCTATTTAAGTCTCAAAGTCAATAATGGCTTCAGCTTCTCCTCATTTGCTTTTGGTTAAGTGTGTCAGCATATACCATGTTCTCACTGAAGGCAAATATTATTTTTGTCTTGCAAAAAAAGGATAGATGAAGACAGAGGGTTATTTCCATAATGCAGAACAGCAAACTGCGGCAAGTCAAAATATCTCCTAAATATACTGATTGATACTAGGCCCCATGCACATTGGGGTGAAGTATAAACTCCAGTTCTCAATATACAGACCTGCCACAGAAATAAATTAGTAGCTGTATCTGTTAAAGGAAAAGCTTGCTGTTGAATTAGACTCATAAGAGGCAGTGCTTTTGTTTTCTCCTGCGATGGGCATCATCTTTGCAATTCCTTATATTGCTGGTTTCAAGCTCCATTGCCTCCCAATAAAGGCTTAAAATACACAGTATGGAAACTATGTTCTGTGTTGCTATGTATACAACAAACTTACTTCAACTTGTATATATTGTTTGCCTGTGTGTGGAAAATTCGTATTTTGCCGGCACTGCAAAGCTATACTGTACTCTAGAGGACAGGAGAAAATCCAGAATAATATGTAATGTGATATACTACAATGACAAAATTCAAATAGCATTAAAGTTGGCAGAGAAAGAAACAGTAAGAATCCCTGTATTGTTTAGGAGTTTGAGATACACAATAAAGGACTCTAAAATACCTCCGTAATTGAACCCCAGAGTGACTCAGGTACGAAAGAGATTAAAGAAAGATATTTTATTGAAAATGTTTGGGTTTTGTTTTGGTATCTCTTTAAAGTTTTATATATTTGCTGTAGTAGCACTTCATACTGGTTTTGGAACATGAGCTGGCCCTAAAGACAGTTGCAGTCATGAGCAAACAGGAAATTGTCACTTGGGAAGTAATGGAGGAAATTGTATTTCCTGTGACAGATGGGAAAGATCAATAGAAGAGAGTTAGAAAACTTCCTCCTCCAACTTTGAGAATGCATATAAATTCTGTCCTGCAGTGTAAAATGCAGCCTCAATCTGAGAGAACCAGCTGTTCTCAAATGATGACATATGAGATCACAAAATCCATCTTTTTCTTCCAATTGAAGAGCAACCTCAGGCTTTTACAATAACTGCACTCTCACTTTAGCAAGTAATTTCTTAGACTTCTATTTTTGTAAATCTACTGTGTGAAAGGCTGAAACAGTGGAGATTAGTATAAGGATTTACAATGTAGAATTTAGAAGAGGAATGCCTTTATGCTGGCTCTCAGTGTTAATGGGAATGAGATGACTTGCTTCCCTTAAAAAAGCGGGCCAGCAACTTCCAGATTAAAACACCCACCAACAGCCTCACATATGCAATATCCAGAAACTTGAATTAATCACTAAGAGGGTTTGCAAGACCATTTTAATCTTTCTCAGATTGAAAAAAATAATGGGGCTGAATTTGATTAAGCTGAAACCAATATCAAAATGAAGCTGCAGTCTAGAGTATCTGGCTCAGATAGGAGTAATCAGTAAGTCTACACTTTAAAGCAAAGAAAGAGTACTACTTTGACTAACCTAACTCAGGTGGGAATTTTCTGCTGCTTTGTTTTCTTCCTATTGGGAAAGCTGTGAACTCCATAATCTGTTCCCTTCTCTCTCCTGTGAACTAACTTCATAACCCGTTTCTAAAAGGAGCATAGATTTCTTTTCTGAACGAGGTCCACTAGATGGCGGAAAAAAACTAGTGTATTCCCTTCTTACAGGCTTTCCCAGACTAGGATAGCGCTTTCACATATTCCAAGTGACTCAAAACACCCGTTTTATACTATGAAGTAACATAATACCTAACAGTAAGAAAGCAAATCTTTCCTTTTAAATCCGTAAGTCCAAAGAGGACTCATGTATGTAAAAGTGCTCAAGTGTAAAGGCCTGATCCGCTCTTTTAGAAATTGGTAGAAGCATTCCCACAGATCTCAACGAACTTTTCACTGAATCCAAAGTACCTTCAAATACTAAGACAGCCGGTTACCTACCATCTTTCATTTTAAATTCTTCTAAAGAAGAAAATTTTCTTCTTATAAAGGACTTGTCGCATTCTCTGCTTTGTCTGTCATCTACTATATACTGAAACAGTATATGGGAAAATTTTGGGCTTCAGTGATGCAGCCATTAAGTGTACAACAAGCCAAATCACTTGTGATTATGAATTACGTTTGTTACTAGAAAATTTACTAATTTACGTAATGTTACTAGGAGTAACAATTATGCGTTCTACTAATAAAGGGGAAAAAAAAAGGAAATTGTTCTCACAGTGTGAGCTAGTATGTAAGACTAAAGCATTTGAGACTACCTGAATCTTTACTTTACTAAATAAATCTTTGGTAACATGCCTTTTTTTTTTTTCTGGAAGGAAAATACCCATTGACCGTAAATGAAAAGCTGATAGGGAGAATTCCAAATTCCCCAGAAGCAAGGAATTGGCTTGTTCCTACAGCTGTTAAGAGAGATAACAGGATAACAATAGTCCGATTCTTTCTCTCCTACTATAAGAGGGTCTGAGGGCTGAGCGAAACAAGGCGCTAGAGGCTGAGTTACTGAATTATTTAAAGTATTCATTTTGAACAGTTAAGGGTCAACTCATACAATACTGATATTTGTAGAATCTATTTTCTGAAATACTGCACCTTAGTACTTTTTATGGGCAAACCACCTTTTATCTGCTGCATAGATGTTGGAAGACTTTGAAATACATAAACATGCAAGGTGAATTCGTATGGCAGTAGCTATTAAGACAAGAGAGTTGTTTATGTAAGCTTAAGGATATAGCTATAAAATAAGAAGATAATAATTCCATCTTAATAACAATAGCTAAAATCTCAAAGTTAGTGAAACCTTTCTAATAATACATTGCAATGACACTATTTTAAATCAATAGTAATTCCAGCCTGTTCACAGGGGAAAAATATGTTGTTATGAATTCAGCCTGTAAAATTAAATGATAATGGAGGAGAAGAGAACTCACAGCAGTTGTGAACACCCAACACTTGTCATTTTGCAATAATTCCCCTGGTATCTTATTTCAGCAACTAGGAAAAAAATTTACTTTGCTGCTTTATTTTACCATGGCAAGTACAAAAGATAGAGTAAAAAGAGAAACAGAAGGCAGAGATAATGAAAGACAAAGACCCTTCCTCAGTGTTTATCCTTCAAAGGAGTCTCGATTAATCTGAACCCAGAAAAAAGTGAAAAATTAAGAGGTGGTAAGCTGAATTTTCTAAAGACAGTCATAGAAAAAGACATCCTAAAAATGGCATCTGGACTGCATTTGGTCTTCACTTCTGGGTGAACTCTGGGTTTGAATATCTGATCATTTAGTTAGGCCCTCTGTGGGATACGCTGCCGTACTTTGCATGAACAAGAACTGGCTCTTGGGGGAGAGAGAAACCTTTCACAAAACTGAGTGAGCTAGAAGTCACCTTATTTAATTAGAGAGCCTCATAGGTGGGAGCCTTTTGAACTCACCAATTAGAGATGAAATATTGCCTTCTAATTTTGCCTAGCTTAATACCATAATACATAAATAGCAACAGCCCCAGGGTTTAAAGAAATTGGATATAAACTCTCTGCTCTGAAATATTTAAACACTGTTTACTGTTCCCAAGTTAAAAAAAAAAAAAAAAAAGAAGCCTCAAGCTAAGGTGGGATACAGTTTTATGAAGCAGAAACTTTGTTGATGCTGTAGCATAAGAAAGTTTTATCAAGAAGGTGCATTAGATTCAACTCTGAACTCAATAAAAAGAAAATCAGAGATCACTGGGGTGATCACAGTGGACTGATGCATACACAGTTTAAGCACCTGCAATTGCCAATAATCAGTATACGTTATTCTGTGAGGCAGGGTGTGGGCTAAGGGAGAAGCGCTAAGTAGAACATAATCTTCTCACCGCTTACTTACCCTGAAACCTCTCCTTGATAGAAATACCTTTCTACCTGCAAGCCCCTTAAAACTGTAAATGTTGTATTTGGTCATCATTCTGTTGGTACTGGGCTCTACTACAGAGAGTGTTTGCCTGGACTGCAGGAGAACTGACTTCTGTTCCCAAATCTGTGCTCTCTCATTTGGGCAAAACACTTCAACTCTCCCAGCTTCTGTTCCTCCTCACACAAACCAACAATCATTCGCTACTTTGTTTTCCCTGCAAAGAAAGAAACAGCTTTTAGTGCCGCTGTGCTTGGCAAAGTGAGGCAGTTTCTTGGGCAGTGACTTCAGTCCTACACAAAGCAAGATCTAACGTTTTGAAAAGAGCAGGGTAACGGGAAGACTTGTCGGTATGTGCAGGCTCCAGCTTCTGCTTATTTTTGTGATAAAGCTCCACCCAAGATTAGAGCCTGGTGTACACAAACACAGGAGCAATCTGCACTGAAGATTTTATGTGATAGTCAAAGGGTGGGAGAAAGGAAGTACAATATTTCTGTTTTATACATGGGAACTGAGGCACAGAGATAGTACGCTTTGCTTGAAGTTACACAGGAAGTCTGTGGCAGAGCCAAGAACTGAACTGAGATCAGTCATAACCGCAAGTCTGGCCTTTCTCTAAGTGCTGTTGGCTTTGTCTTGTTGGTCATGTGAGCTGAACTGGCTGCCTCAGTATTGCTTCCAGTGCGCTCTATCCCTGTGTTCCCTGTGTGAGCCTGTTTTGCCTCAGAAACCTAAGGGTAAAACCTACAAATGACAGATAACTGACAGCTGTAGAAAATGCTGCATTTTAATGAATATAATGAGATAAAAATTTAAGCGTAACTTCTTGCTGAAATTGTGGGGAATTCCACCTAAAACATCATTATGTGATCTGATCTGGCCTTTCTATTTTTAACCTGTCTTAAACCGATTGTGTGGCAGTGTTTGAAAATATCACAGAATTGTCATATCCATTCCTACTAGAAAATGAAGAGTTGCCCTTGAAAATGGTCTCCATCTGTAATGCACATGGATTAAAAGACAGTGATTGTGCTGATATCCTTAGCTTCAGTGCAGAATTGATGAGCAATAATGGGACAGACCATAATTAAGTGTCATCTGAAGCTTTTATTTTGTGTGTGTTGTGGAGTGCCCTTTGCTAAGTGTTGCTGTTTTGCCATCAGAAGAAAAGACTTTATAATACTTCTTGGTTTCTTTTGGCATACTTGAAACAGCACCAGCACCAGTTCATTCCTACACCCCTGCCAACGCTGAGCCTGCAAGTCGCCCTCCCTGGGTAACAGATGACTCCTTTTCCCAGAAATTTGCACCCGGAAAAACCACCACCACTGTCACAAAGCACATCCTACCAAGGGGTGCTCCAGTACCAGCTCCTGCCTCAACTCCTGCTTACCCATCTCCAGTTTCAACTTCTTCCCAGGCTCCTGCAATAGCCCGGGGAACAGTTCAGAGGGCTGAGCGTTTTCCAGCCAGCAGCCGGACTCCGCTCTGTGGGCACTGTAACAGCATAATTCGGTAAGGTCATAAGGTTTTGAAGAGGGATGAAGCAGAAAAATATATCAGAGAGACTGGTTATTGTACATTAATATACAGTACCAGAGCCTAAGACTCAGTTAAATTACCCAGCAGAGATGTCTGTTGTCTGCTTCATTAGTTTAACATTTCCAGAGCTCATTTTGCTATTGCATGGTTCACTTTTTATCACTGCAAAGTTATACATGCTAATTGTTTGTTTCTTGGATGCTGTGGGAAATCACTGTTTGTTTTTTAAACAAGTTTCTGGTCCGAAGGTACCCCTTGAAGGAGGTACGTATGACTGCATCAGGAGAGTTGGGGGGGTGGGGGAGAGGACTATGGAGACAAAAGGAACGAGACATCATTTTGGAATAGCAGCCAAATGTAATTGTTGCTTTTGTGTCTGGAGAAAGATAATGCCTACACTCTATTACCAGTGATTCATAGCATGCCTCTCCTTTCTCCTCTCCCAATTCATTCTCCTGGACCAGTGCCCACTGTTACCCTGTGGACTGCTAACCAACTTTAAGTAATCCATGTTTAATGACAGTCTCCCTCACTAAAAGGAGCTAGTTCGGCGATGTGGAGCTGCTGATTATTGCCCTTTATATATTCTGAAATTGAAAGACTCCAGTAATAATCACTGTATCTAATTATAATCAAGTAAATCACCAAAATGAATTTAATGTATCTTCCACGTAATCAACAACAAGTTCTCATCTGATAGTTGGACGTTTCTAGAACATGCTGCATGCAGTGTTCTTTCAGATGAAAAGAAGGAAGGAGACTTTAGGAGCTATTGTGAGGTGTGGGTGTGTAGTTTTGGAAATTTACAGACTTTTTCATGCTTTCAAATAGTAGCATTATCATCTGTGTTACAACCCTTGGCCTGTTCCTGTTGTCTTCGCAGCTGTTTACAAAGACCACTTATAGCTTTGCAGCTATGAAAACAATTGATGATTTTTCCAACAGTTGTCTGTAAATCCAATATATATGACTAATCAAATATGGAAGATTTTAACCAATTGGCAAAGTGTTTGAGTAACGGTCTTGAAAAAGACCATTTCTGTTCAGGCTCCTGGATCTTATTTTAATATGCACCTCTGCGGTTCAGGTAGACTGCTTGTTATACATGAACGTGGTGTCTAACAAAGTCGGTTTGTAATGAGGGTCATTCAATCTTTTTGCAATGCAAATAAGATAATTACGATTGTTTACAGGGGTCCTTTCCTGGTAGCCATGGGTCGCTCTTGGCACCCAGAAGAATTCAACTGTGCTTACTGCAAGAAATCTTTGGCCGATATGTGCTTTGTGGAAGAGCAGAATAGTGTGTACTGTGAGCGCTGTTATGAACAGTTCTTTGCACCAACCTGTGCCAGATGCCACACTAAGATCATGGGGGTAAGAGAACAAGCTTAACCCTTTCTCCAGCTGCATGGTTCACTGAAATAATTAAATAGTTTAGACTGTAAGCAATGCATGTAGATAGTTATTTCCCCCTTTTTAATAATAATTTCCCAGCCTGTTGATTATTTCAGAATGAGAAACATATTATTTTATAATAATTTTTATCTATCCAAAATCTTGGATGTTTCTGTACCTTCTTGAACTCATAGACAGAGTATGTAATCCAATTAGCATCTCACTGAGTGTAAAATAAGTAACACTTTCTGGATAGTTCTTTGCTAGCCGATACACACTATGTTACTTTTATCTATCTTTTCCTTGTATTTATAGTAAAAGACTTGAACTGTTTTTTTTTTCTTATACAGGACTTAGTCTAAATTTCAATGGAGAAGTCAGTGATCTTGGGAAAAGGCTCATTGCTCTTGCTGCACCTCGCTGGTAGCTAGCAACACAGCTGACGAGGAGTTCTGCTGACTTCTTATAGTTAAGAAAATACAAAATAAATACAAAGATCTGGATTCCATAAAGGCAAAAAATAGATGCCACTTTTGTCTTAATGCACTCATGGTTAGGTACACGTAAATTTGCTCTACGTATACCTTAGATGGTGATGAGGTTGGAATACCATAAGATAATTTTAGCAGTGTATCAATGCATGCAGTTACAGTGAATATATAACACGATTCTCTTAGATGAGGAAGCAAGGAGTACCACACTGTTTTTTCACTGCTTAGCTGTCACCTTTTGACATCTGTCTAAATGTTGGCATTGACAGACTAGATGCTTTTCTCTGCAATTGCCAGTTAGGGATGGCAGCATCAGGCATCTGTGGTGAAGCTCTGGCTCCAACCAAGTCTTGTTTGCTACTGCGGCAGTAGGAGTAATTTTACAGCAGAGTACTGACTTAACTTACCTAATTAAAGCTGGCACAAATCAGTTCCCCATTATGGATTTTCATCAGGAAAATAGCAAAGATGCCAGCTGCCTCTATTTATATTAATAAGATTTCTCAATCTGTTTTTTGCTTCTTAGCTCAGTGAGGTTCATAAATGGATACAAACCTATTTATCAGCGATAGTTGTTTTGCAAACAGTAACAGAAGTTAATGAATCTCAAATGGTGATTCTCTACTGAGATATATGGCAAACATAAATTAGACTATTTTGTCTATTCACTGGATTGAAAGCATGGAAGAGGACTTCAACCTCTTGTCATAGTCAATGCATATTAAAAATAATCTTTAAAAGAGAATCAAAGTCTATGTATATAATTGGAAGCAACATAAAATAGAATCTAGATTCTCAGCTGGTGTAAATCAATGCTGTTTCACTGAAGTTAACGAAGTTAAATTAATTAACACCAGTTACACAGCTGGCCCTTTGAAATCTGGACTGTTTGACAGATACTGTCAAACATTGTCTTGGGCACAAGCAAGATTGGCAAATTAGCAGGTAACCATGCATCAGAGCTCAGTACAGCAGCTTTTGGACTTGGAGGACTTCTGTATGACAAGATAAGAATGAAGCAGTGATAGAGATTGCTTCACACCGGATAGTAGAAACAAGCTGATAAAATCTGGATACTCAGTTCAAAAGAACATCAGTTGCACAGAAATTTTTTTTTTGTGATGAACACATGGCCTAGGAACAGACACGCAGGCTCATTTTTACTAATCACATAAGTTAAAATCTAAGAACCTATTTATTTTTTTTAGATTTTCACATTAGTTTGCAAAGCGTTCTTGTGAGAAGCTTAAAGGAATTAGTAAATAACCTAAGTTGCTTTGAAACATCGGACTTAAATCACTTATCACCTGCATGCATTTCTTGGTCTTGGAGAGGAAATGACTCTTAAAATTTATTTAACAAGTCGTACTTTTGCATTGAAGAGTTCATACTAGTCGTGTCAAAACAAAGGAGAAAATAATCAGAATCTTTGTGCAGAATCTCTCCTGCAACAGCGACTGGGCATGTTGATACAAACAGCTGGCTGAACTATGTTGTTTCATTTTGGCAAATACATTCTTCTGGAAAGTCTGCAGTCCTATTTCCCCTTTCTTTCCAAAGGAGCCCAATTTCTATCATACTTCTTTCTTTTGAGGAGGGACATTGGCTGATACAGAAGGGAAAAATTTATAGAGCATCTCTGCCTTGTATTTTTCTCCAGTAGGTAGTTGCAGGGCATACTATTCTGCTGGAGATTTTTGTTTGTTTGTTTGTTTTACAGGAAGTGATGCATGCCTTAAAACAGACTTGGCACACAACTTGCTTTGTTTGTGCTGCTTGTAAGATGCCATTTGGGAATAGCCTCTTTCACATGGAGGATGGTGAACCTTACTGTGAGAAAGGTATGGTAAACTGGACAGTTCTGCTCAGTAATCAAGTGCTTCATGTTGTATGGAAGCAATGTAAGAATAAAGCAGCTGGTGAACAAAATAAAATCAGTTCCCCATCCAGCATGGATTTTGTTTCCACTTTCCGCATATACAAGTGTTTCCCTCTCTGTATTTTTCTCCATTTTATATGATGGCAGAGTGCTGGTTTTTAGCTTCTATGTCCCAGAGCGCCTTACCTCATTTCTCTCCCTTATGTATTACGATATTTACCTTTCATTTCTCTCCCTACAACCTGTCCCCCTCTGTTACCTGGTAGATTCTGCTTACCCCCACATTATGGGATGAAAAACTCTTCTTTTAGGGTTTTGGGAGCGCTTCTATACAGTATGTGTGAGTTGCTGCCCACATCGTCTCTACTAAGTTGCTTGAATTATCACCTCTGATACTGCTACCTTACCCTAAAACTGGTCAACCAACAAAGATGAAAAGATAGCACTGCTCAGATGTGCAACACATGGTAGTGCAGATTTTGTTTTCTGAGTGCTGCAAGAAATTAACTGCTCGTGAACTAAGAAAGGAAAAGGCCAGGTTTCCTCAAACTATGGAAAGGGTAGTATGGTTTAATAAATGGTGCTTGCCATGCAAATGAGTTGCCTGACATGGTCAGGAAGGAGGTTAAGATTTAAGTGATATTCCTCCTGTAAGCCCTGCCTTGTACATTTAATGAGCTTTTGGCCTACTTCTTTCTGGAGATTCCTTCCTTATGGTTGTGCAAATCAAATTTTACAAATCAGAGTAACTCTTAGTGAAGAATGAAAACCATACAGCATGACTGACTTGGCACCTACCCTTTAAAAGTGGAGGTTTTGCCATAACATCTAATGACTCTCATGAACTCCATATATCTTTAGAATTTCTACTCATCTTTTTCAATGTCAAGTCTTTCCATATTTCACTTAATATTCAAAGTAAAGTTGTATTAACTAACTAGTATGGGGTTTCCATAATATTCTCTCTTAATGCAGAGAGTACATAAATCCAGTAATGGAAACTTAAACTATGCTTCTATACCACCCTTAAGGTAACACTCACTGGCCATTAGATTGTGTTTTGTATGACCATGTTTGTCCTTATGAATAGCTTCCACATGCATTAAAGCTAATTTAAAACTAATGTGAGGGACATAACTTCAAATTTCATGACACTTTTTTTTTGTTTTCTATGTTTGTGATGACAACTTTTGTGATGACGTGGGGTTTTGCACTGAGCTTGTATTTAAACAGTGAAAGAAAAGAGCAAATTTCAGTGTGTTTCAGTGAATGTAGTAGGAAACTGAGCAAAAAATCCAAAAATTCATCCTCTGGAAACTTTCAATTTCTCTTGGATTTAATACAATTACATTAAGAGTTTATTCTAAATTTGCTTTTTGTTTTATTTTAGATTATATTGCTTTGTTCAGCACAAAATGCCATGGCTGTGATTTTCCTGTTGAAGCTGGAGATAAATTCATTGAAGCCCTGGGACACACTTGGCATGATACCTGCTTCATTTGTGCTGTAGGTTCTATACCAAATACTATCTCATTTCTTTATACTTACAAATTGAGAAGTAACATCAGAAGACAAAAAAAAGGAATGACTAACATATGCCTAAGGATGCAGAGGGATTGAATTTCAGTTTTTACTTGCAGACAGAGAAGAATGGAAGTAATGTCTCTTCCCCTCCGTAAACTTTTACTAGAATTGTTAAATGTAACCATCACAAGTGAGTGCTCTCTAATAAGACATCCGGTTTTAGAGAGTACACACAGTAATACATAGCACTGTTCTTTCCAATGTTTAACAAATAAAGATAAAGCAGGATTTAAAATAAATTAACACCATACTGAACAGTATAGCCATAATCTTACTTACAAAGCAGTGCAGTGTTTATTTCCATGCAGAATGCTTGTTGAAACTTGCAAAAAGGAGTCTGTTTAGAGAGAATGAATAGTAATTAGCATAGAAGTCAGTCAGACTCATCAATCTGGTGCGTGTACAGCTATGTAGTGTGGCCATATTCCCACACTCTGCAGACAAAGTAGGAAAATCCATATGATAACAGTACTTTTCATATGGTTCTAATACAGCTGTGCTGCTCTACAACATATTCCTAAGGTAATAATATCTAGAACCTCTAATTAGCTAAAAATAGTATGTTGGCCACACCAAAAACAGCAGTGACAATTTCTAATGTTTGTTGAACTCTAAAATTTAGATTGAAGAGTAGAAAGTATAGAAATGTTTATAAATAGCTAAAGCTAAACAAGTCTTTTTGGAATTCTAACATGAAAAGGAATTCTAAGACAGTGAGTTTCCTTCACAAGCTAACAGCTATTAGCTATAAAAGATACTTTATCTGAATATTTCATGTTCTTTTTTTGCTCATTCTTTTAATTGCATTCTTGTGTATTTATTTAAATTAACAACCCGATTTTCTGTGGAGGTGAGTTTTCTTAATGCAGTCATCACAGCGTTTTTTTGTTAGGAGCTAATTTTATTTCTTTCAGTGGATTAAGTCAAATGCAAATAAACACATGACTTAATTTCTAGCATGCTATCCTTATATCCTTTCACATGATTTTCCTTCCACTTGCTGTGGCTCATTACTGATGTTATCACTCACTGGTTTTAAGCCTACCATAAGCATTAGGGACAACATTGATTCTTATTCCTAGATTCTCATGTGTTGACTCCCTTAAGTGGTTCTAGTCAACTCTGACCTTGCAAGTGGTGGTGCACTACCCTCTGTAGATATCTGTACAATTCCAGGGAAGTTTAAGCTGATCTAAACCTGGTCCTGCCCTGCCTCAGCCATGCATTCTCACATGCTTTATTATGCCAACACTGGCACTTAAGCAGCCAGGCAGAGAACACTGTGGGTTGAAGGATAACCCGGTAAGACTAAGTAATTCATTTTCAATGATACTGGCTGTCTCAATGACTCGCTCCTTGATCACATAAGCACCTGTACCAAGACACAGCAATAACAGGAATTAATATCTCATTGTACCATGGCAGGATGGTGCCCCTGGGACCATGGCACCTAACAGGAGCTTTTGTAAAATCGTACAAGGATCAGAGCCTAGGTCTTAAGGTTTGAGCTAGCTGCATGTGCTGTCGTTTGACAATCTACACACACACTGCTGGAACATGCTGAAGCTGCCTAGGGGATCAGGTACTCTGACTTTGTTGTAATGGAAACTAGTGAACTTAGCGGGTAGTGGTGGCAGGAATGTACAGAGAGGAGAGCTGGTGCAAACCAGAGCCTAATCTCAACATGGAGTAGGAAAACTACCAAGGCATGCACTTTGATCCAGGAAATCAGATGTACTTCTGCCAAAGAAATGTGTGTGCAGAAAAGAAATACAGTTGAAACTTATAATCATGTCTTTCTCTCTCTCTCTCTTTTTTAATGATTTCTGATTGTATTTATTATTAATTCTAGGTATGTCATGTGAATTTGGAAGGTCAGCCATTCTACTCCAAGAAGGATAAGCCACTGTGCAAGAAGCATGCCCATGCCATCAATGTTTAAAAGAAGAGTTGGTAGTCAGTTATGCTGGGGAAAAACAGATGACTAACTGGGCAATTATAAAGTTGATAACCATGGCTAGCATTTCTCTTGGTAAAAGCTAGGAAGTTGATACTTCTGAAGTTTTAACTTCAACCTCTTTTGTAAATGCAGAACATGCTTTTGCAAGGTTCATACAAAAACCTACTGAATGAACAGTCAAAGCAAATGAACTAGTCCATTATTAGAGCAACAGCTGGGGAAAATACTGAAATTCACTAAAAACTGTAATATAAAAAGTAATGCACAAATACAGTTTCAAATTAACTACCCACAGCAGTTTTACTACTTAGACCACACACTGATGTTTAAAAACAACTGAAAAAGTCCTTTTGTAATAAGTAATTTTCTTTCATAACAAGAATGAATAAGTGCCACATGTACAATAATCTGTAGAACCAAAGGCCACAGCCTTCAAAGGGAAATAAATAGATTAGGGTTTCCTCGATGAAAAGTGAGTGCTATTCCATTATGTTGTGGTGCTACCTCATAGCATCAAATATTTTAAATTCTTTCCAAATAAGAAGTCTGCCTTGAATCCATATGTAGCTGGGAAGCCTAGGAGACAATCTGTAACTTAGTTTGAAAATAAAGTGGAAGCAGAATTATCTCTTTCCATAACCCAGTAAGATTGAGAAAAGCATGTCGGGTCAACCTTGCTAGTGCACTTGGCTTATATATGCACAGTAAATTGGTTCACTTTCAGATCGTAAAGGAAAAGGACAACTGGCTTTCTCCAAATTGCTCTTACATTGAATGGAATAGAGCTGGGTGGAAAGGCCGGCTTTTAATTCGAAACCAGTTTTCCTTTCTTCTTGTGAAAAAAAAAATACTCAAAGTTGCTTTGGTTTCTAATTCCCATTGATGTCAGTGGGAGGTAGGAATCTACATCTGGACCTTCACATTGATGAACACAGAAGACACACATCCATCTAGCACAGCTAGGAAGTGGGAGAGAGCTTGCAAAAGTTCCTTACTTACCACATATTTAGGAAAAGGGCTTTTTTTTTTTGTTTTTTCCTATAGTAAATTAACATTGATTAAAAATTCACAAGGCAGCATAACAGCACAGGCATATACTCTGTATTACTTTTGCTAGTTTAAATGCAACACATCCTGAATTGTTGTAGTATTTGCCATTGTAAAACAGTAGACAGGCTCTGACAATTAGGATAATCATACAGTGATCTTTTCTAATATTTTAAGAAAAACTTTTGAGTTGTTCAGTTATTTATAAAACTTTTTTTTTTGCAAAAGAGCAATACTTGTAGCACTGATAATACTTTTTAATTTTTAATTTTAAATATCAATGACTTTTGTATTGGAGACAGCACTTCTGTCTGATAGAGTTATAATGGAAAGTCTGATCTCTATTCAAGTTTTATTAATTTAATTAAGAATTATGATGTGTGTGTTGACAGCTTGCAGTACTGACAGTTTTGAATTAATATTTCTGAGGCTGAGGATGCATTCTGTGGGCCACATTCTGGTGCCATCTGCACCCTATTTTACTTTGTGTTTTGAGTAACAAGGAATGACATAGCATTGTCTCCCTTTTCCCTTCTATGGGTAATGCCCATTTTAAGAAAATTGGTGTGTCTTTCCAGGGATGGAAAAACTACATATAACTTGGGGGTCGAATAAAAGAAATTTGGAGTTCTGAGAGTTAAGTTAGCTGAAGGCAGTCCGCATGTTGGACAAAAATAACAAACCGAACTGCCTGTGGCAGTTTTGACCTGTCTGACCTGTATTTATTCAGTAGGTATCTTAGTTCTCACTGATCTTAGCAGTGATCTGATCTGAGTGCTGCAGGTTTTTGTATGCATGAGTTATTCTAAACCACTAGTACATTATATGCAAAGCCTTTTTTTTTTCTATAGCAAACAAATTTTCTGTTTTCAGTTGGTGCTGGGCTGGTGTGAATATGGTTCTATTGATTACAAAATCCAAAGGTCTGGGTCATAATATTCCCTAGAGGAATAAATTGTAATCATGGAAGTTAAATATTTTTTCACTCGTATTTGACTTCATCAAATACCTTTCCATAACAGTGAGACAATTCTAGATTTCCTTTTAATTTTTGAATGTCATTCAACAAAATGGTGTTTATTATTCTTTGTTATTTAAGAGAATTCATATCAGCATATTATATACTAAGACTGCATTGAAGATATTCTTCAGGCAGATTTCTGACTGGGACTAGTCTCTTCCTGTCAACATCAAAACAGGGAGTCAGACTGCTTGGGAGGACACAAAGTTCTAGGGCTTTGTGATACCTCAGGAGAATTTCATGAGATCTTTCGCCTCTAATCTGCACGTGTGTGTGTGCGTCTCCCTTTCCACCTTCCCCCTCAGTGTCCCTAAAAGCTCCCTCTTCACTAGCAATGTGAAGGATAAAGTGTTTTAGGAAGAGGTCAGAGATGGAGGGCTGCAGCTTAGGTAGGGGTACAGTCTGTGCAGAGATGGTGGCTGGCAGCACAGCTGGGGCTGTCTCCTTCACGTTCACAGGGGAGCCCAGATTGCCAGCTGAAGCGGCCCAAGGTCAGCTTGTGATTTGCTGGGGTGGACAGGGGTGTGGGAGACAGGGGTCCCAGTGTGGGCAGGGGAAGGGAGGCTTGGATCAGAGAAAGGAGAGCACCTGTGGCAGCCAGAACCTAGGGACTCTTGGGGCCTCTGGTTGAGTGTGAAAAGATGAGGCATTGAGGAGACGAGAAGCCCTTACTGAAGCTAGGTTAGAGCAGGGGGAATAGCCAGGGAAGGCCAGTTTCACTAAGTTGACACGTTAGATAGTTGGGGTGGGGCAGGGGGACACGGGAGGAATAGACAGGATGACTTTCTACAGTCAGGGAAAGGTCTTGAAGCAAGAATTAGGGTACAAGGAGCTCACAATAGTCCAGAGAGATAGTGTGAATACATATCGAAAGGGTGAGCAAGGAGAACGCAGGATCCAATCTAGTCAATTTGAAGTCAGTACTGCAGTAAGGTGAGTGTGGTGTATGTAGGCATGGCTGAGCTAGCCTGCCGAGCGGCAACAGCAAAAATGCAGCAGCACAGACTTCAGGGGAAGCCGTACGGACTTGAGAGAGTCCTGAAAATTTCCTCGAACAGGTAACCTGCACTGTAACACATGCCCTGACTCCAGCTGGTGTCTGAGCAAGTGAGATTAAAGCTAGTTTACATATCACTATATGAGGTACAGAGATATCTCTGAATGAAGAACAGAGATACCCTGAGGACTATCATGTAATAAATTTCCTGTTTTGACTTGTGCTGCTTCATAATGTGGTCCAAAATAGGGAATCCACTTACCCGCCCTTGATATCTATATTAAGATATAATTTTTGCACATATCTGAACCTGAAATTTGTGAATAATAATGTAGTATTTTAACTTTCACAGGAGTAGAATACCACATAACTGCTGATGCTCTTCTGACACATCACCTTTGTGATATGGAGGGGGGAAAGATGCATAGAGATATATATAATTCAGAATAGGGCCCTTCAACTATCACTGAACATAAATGCTGTAAAAAAACAAGCAAGATGAATAATGTGTACTTGTTTATGTTTTATGTCTTGTAATAGATGCCTGGGACAAGTCCCAGGTTCCTCTAAATATTTCTTTTCATTCTACTTAAGGTGGGTTTTTACGTAATAAACCAAAGATACTGTACCTCTGAATGATCAAATAAAAAGATTGGTCTTTTATCTAATTAAAAAGCGTTCAGTAACTTTTCAGTCGAAGACTTCAAAAATTATCTTAATTCTTTTCTCTTTTTCTGTACTTTTTGCAGAACAGGGTAAATTAAACATTTCCAAAGAAGACTGCTTTTACTATCTGGAAAAAATTCCACTCTTACAACTTCTATTTTTAGAAGTTAGTTTTTACTATATTGGATTTACACATTATGCATTTCTAAAATCAATTCAAAATGATGAAAAATATTTTACTTTGGTCCTTCAGTGGTCAGTACTTTGGGTGAAATGTTTTCTTAAAGGTATTTGTATTTATGTTTAATAATGTGAATGTCCACAGCACTGAACACACTCATTAGTGTCTAATGCTGGGCACGCTAATGTGTGTTTGCAATACTTGTCTCTTGGTAGCAGATATTAGTTTGTTTAGTATTTATAAATATCAGAATTTGAAACTGAGTGATTTCTTGCCTGCAGTGATCATGTTAGAAGTCTAGGTTTTATAATATATTGACATGTTGACTCGATGCCACAAGTGCCCTTGCTTTTAGATACATATTTTTTCCTAAGTTCCTAGTTATTTCAGAAACGGAATGTAGTGTGGTTTATGAGGTGTGAGTAACTACCTTGCATGGATTATCTGTGCCAACATGAATAAAACAGTCTAGTAATAAAAGAAATGTGCAAATAGAGTTAAAGCTTTATGATTTGGGCATATTTATTAATATGGCATGTGAACAGCTGACAGCTTTCAGCCATGTAATACTGATAAGAAAGCACACACAAGCTTGTACTCTCTACTTCAGATCTGAAAATAAAAATCAAAAGCATTGGTTTCAACTTCATTGTATATCAATCTTGAATGTTTTATTAACTAAATAACGCTGTTTTAAACAAACGTTAGTATGCTTAAAAGATGTAGTGTACTAACAGTACATGTTGTAACTTAGCAAGACTTGTATAGTCACAGACCTTATTGTGTCAACAAATACTGTTTATAGTAACTTTATAAGGAATGGGTAAATTCTGTCTTAGGTTACATCGATGCGTCTTTGATTGCTTAAGTTCAGGTGAGTGTTCTTGCATTTCTTAGCAGAAGTGACTTTAAATAATACATAAAACATTTTAAATGTCCTCTGAGCTCTAGTGCCAAGAAATACTTCCAAGTGAAAAGATATCTTCATCTAACAACAGTGTGGCTTATAAAACCAGCCATTTTGTGCATTCCTAATACACACCCCTCAGGAATGCAGGATTTTTGAATTATATTAAAGCTAATGAAGAAGTTACATGATAAATGGACAGACTTGGCTATAGATGTCATTAAAAAGTACAGCATCAGGAATCACAACTTTGTGCACTTGGATTTTATTTTACAGCCCTAATTTCTCTTTACAATGTGCGTAAGTAAAAACACAATTCGAAAGAATGAACAGAACATATGCAATTTTCTGTCAATTCAAAATTGCTGTTTTTCAGATTGTGTGTTCTGACCTTTAACCTTTGCACAAAACAGTGGTTCCTAAACCACTGTGCACTGTGATCCCTGAAGAGTTCAGCTGTTGGAAGTGGAAGCCATAGAGGCACAAGCATAGCACTGTGCCAGCTAATAGGGTGCAAGAAGTGAAAGG